AGAGCGTAAAACTAATGTGAAGGATCTAGGAGTGATATTGTCAAAGGATCTCACTTTAAATGATCAGAACAATGTGTCTACCACAGCTGCTAGGATAATGACAGGATGGAAAATGAGAACCTTCAAAACAAGGAATGCCAAGCCCATGATGATTCTATGCAAATCGCTTGATCTCTCTAGGCTGGAATATTGCTGTACACTAACAGCCCCTTTCAAGGTAGGTGAAATTGCAAACCTGGAGAATGTACAGAGAACTTTCACAGAATGTATAAGCATGATAAAGCACCTAAATTACTGGGAACAGTTAAATCCCTTGACCTGTACTCCTTGGAACACAGGCAAGAAAGATCTTGTTTCAACAAACCAGCTGTATCCCACCGAGGCAGGGTGGTCCAAAAAGAAAAACGTTAGTTTCTCCTTCTAAATTTAGTAATATTTACAGGCAAAGGGGTTACTAACCCCTTGCTCCCAGCATTTTAGTCACCTCTTATGACACGCATGACTTACAGGGAAATAATTCTGTTCCACTTCCCCATATTATATACTTGGAAAATTCTAGTGGAACTAGTCCTAAATCTGCACAAGGAAATCACTTTCTACAAAAGCAAAAGAATTGTCAGGCAGTGCAACAACCCTCCAATGAAAAGCAGGGAGTGCCTTGAGTATGCTAAGAGAAAACACAGTTAGTGCCAAGGGCCCAACTGCCTCCCAGCATACATAAGGTGGATCACCAACAGACCCCTGGCTGTCTTCAGGAAGGAGTTGGACAAACACCTGAAGTCAGCACCTGACCAGCTGGACTGTGGGTTGTATGTAGGATTGCATGCAGCCAGAGGTAACAGCCTGATTGATCAGGCCCTGATCCACTGTGAAGCCTGGTCATGGACCAGGCTGTGGGGGCATGGACACTCAGAATACCCTCCAGGTATAAAAATGTTAGACTGAGAACAACTTTACAATAGGATGCAGAGCACAGGGTGTGCTACAGTGGACCTTAAACTATCTAAAGAATGAGGAACAATTATTCATCTACATACTTTATTTTTACTTTTTCTGAAGAATGACAGTTCATACACAGTACAAAATACTTTATTTTTACTTTTTCTGAAGAATGACAGTTCATACACAGTACAAAATTTCAGGCATACCAGAAAAAAGCATTATTGTGTTGTGCAAGCAAAGATGATTCACTAAAACATATCTTAAAAGCAAAACCAATGGTGCCAAACTATGGGCTAAGTTAGTTTTGGTGCATTATTATTACATTCATGGGGGAGTGCTAAACTATTATGGGTCATTCAGCACTTGAGGAGTGGGAAGCAATCAGATTTGATTCAAGGAATGGAAGGTCACGTTTGATTCCTTGAATGAAGAGCCCGTTATGTACAGTACAAACACAGTTTACAGCATAAAAGACAAACCAGAGATACAGATAATAACTTTTCTTCAGTGATAGTATTTTTTTTTTATCACGTCGGTTGTCTCCCACCGAGGCAGGGTGACCCAAAAAGAAAGAAAATCCCCAAAAATCAAAATACTTTCATCATTCAACACTTTCACCTCACTCATACATAATCACTGTCTTTGCAGAGGCGCTCAGGTACAACAGTTTAGAAGTCCCTCCAAACTGCCAAAGTCCCAAACCCCTCCTTTAAAGTGCAGGCATTGCACTTCCCATTTCCAGGACTCAAGTCCGGCTAACCGGATAGTATGCATCGAGATAAAAAAAGTTTAATAACAATGACAAACCCACTATCCCCATTTTTTTTTCAAATTTATTTGTAGAATATTTAAGGATTAAATTATTACTAATCTTTGTAGTAGCTCTTCTGGTTCAAATTTGGTACAGATAAGGAAATGACTTATCATTTTAGAGTGGCCTACTTCTCAAAGGATCCTTGATACTGACAAGGAGCTCTTAATCCAAAGAGTTGGACTTATCTTCCCTTTTCTTGGACATAACCTGATTGCCTCTCATCTCCAGGAGCTGTATGCCCCTATGGATTTAATGTATCCCAATAATAATAAACAATAAAAATTAGTTACTATAATCAAAACCTAGAGCTAAACCCACAAGGGGTCATACAGCACTACAGGTCAGGGTGTATTTGCTTGATTAGAGACTAGTGAGGGTGGAGAGTATAACAGAGGTAGAGTTAAATATGGCTGTGAGGAATTCTAAAGGAAGTACCATCACAGTTTGTGTAATAAATCTGTTGTTGTCAAAGAGTCAGAGGGAGTTTGCATCAAAGGTGGGACTAAAAAGAAAATCATCTTTCTTTCAACGCACTGGCCGTATCTCATCGAGGAAGGGTGGCCCAAAAAGAAAAACAAAATTTTCTCTTTTTAAATTTAGTACAGTAATGTAGTATACAGGAGAAGGGGCTACTAGCCCTTGCTCCCGGCATTTTAGTCGCTTCTTATGACACGCATGGCTTACGGAGGAAAAATTCTGTTCCACTTCCCAATGGAGATAAGCAGAAATAAACAAGAACAAGGACTAATAAGAAAATAGAAGAAAACCCAGAGTAGTGTGACCCAAGTGTAAGTACCTCTCTGGGTGGTTACTTCCATTCTTTGTCATTCTAGAAAACCAGATTAGCAATATCATAAAAAGAGCACAAAAAGACATACCCAAGTACATAAACTGCTTCTGCAGTCATGACCAACAGATAAAAGTTCTTGGTATCTATATATGCTTCTGAAAGCATATCCTGTACTGCAGTGTCATTCAAGACATATACTGTATATGGTGAAATACCACAAAATGTGTACTGTACTGTATTATAATATTTTAAAGACTTTGTGCTACAATAACCATTTAGATTGAGTTTGAAAGTACTATTTTTGGGCTAGAAAATCTTTGTATGCAATCTAAATGCCATATCTAGTAATAAGCATAGAAATAAAGTACAGTGGTACCTCGAATTTCGAACAGCTCCCAACTCGAACAATTATTTAAGTGTATTTTTGTAAGTACTTTGGTAAGTGTATTTTTGGGGGTCTGAAACAGGCTAATCTAACTTACATTATTCCTTATGGGAACAAATTCATTTAGTAATGGCACTTCTGGAACGAATTAAGGTCAAAATTCGAGGTACCACTGTAATTGAAAGCTTATCAAGTGGGCATAATTAAAGATCATAATTAAAGATCAAGAGTTACAACAGTCCAAGGACAACCTGAGAAAGGGGGTGTAGATCTGCCTATGCAGTGAGTAGATACTTTATATAGATGAAGCTGAGGAACCCTGAAAATAAATGTATTTATAAACAATGTGCAAGGACTGATAACTGCAGTTCCATCTTCAAATCACATATTTATGCACAGTTTCATGAAAAATTGAATTATAGAACTGAGCTTTTATCACAACAGATCCTCACTTCAATAGGTTAGGAAAGAAAATTAAGATCACCTCTACCCAAGTCAACATAAATTTCCACAACCCAAAGGAAAATCAGGTCACAAAGCATCTTGGGGACTTCTCTCGCCTCATTCATTTCCAAATGAAATGGCTTTGTGATGATGCATAAAAGTAGTTAAGTATTACTGTATTTACTTTTTGTTTATTATTTAGTATCTGTTTTTTTTTCTTTTTACCTCCAGCCATTTCACAAGGTTGGGCAAGCCAAAATAAGAAACATTCACTATCATTCATTCAAAGTAAAAGGACACAAGTGCAACTAATGTGACATTTTATTGTGGCAACGTTTCGCTCTCCAGCTTTGTCAAGCCGTAACGGCTTGACAAAGATCCTGGAGAGTAAAATGTTGCCACAATAAAATGTCACATTAGTTGCACTTGTGTCCTTTTACTTTGCATATTGTCGGCAATTCTACTAACTTTATTACAATCATTCATTCAATAACTGCCTTGCCAGAACTATGTACATACATCAAAAATCAAATGACCCTTCCAGCTGCAACATCACTTCTTCAGTCCAGGCTCTGCATTTTTCATCTTAAATCTGACTAATCATTTTCATGCCTTCCTTTATAAATATGATGCCTTGTTCACACTACAACACATCTTAATTAAAATCACTTGTACCTACTGATCTAACAAGTTCACATATGCCATTTATAGCAATAATAATGACTGGTCTGTCTTCTGCAACTGGTTTTTCCAAACATATTCTCACCTAAGGATGATTGAAAGGGGTTGCCTTGATGCTGGTGAAGGGCTCTTGATCCTAGAAATTGCAGCTACCCTCCCCTTTTTTGGATCAAATATGATTACCTACCATTTCCCAGGTGCTGTCTGACTCTACGGGTTAGTGCTTTGTCAACAGTACAATAATCTTACTGTGTTACACGAAGACGGTGTCCACAAAGTTCTTTTCCTATTTCAATTTTTTTTTTTTCACAAAATTCTAACTGTATTCTTCACATAATAGCTGAACTAACAGTTCTGAGCACATTACTGGTTTCCATGCATGTATGCTAACCACTGTGCCATAACCAAATAAGAGATTTTAAACAATAAACGCATTCCATCAGAGTTGTGGATCATTACAATTCCAATTTACGTTTTATATTATGCCCCCTAGCACTCAAGCACTTCTAGCATGGTCCAACCTATCATAACCACTGATTCGTGATTTTTTTAAGTTCAGCGACAAACTTGCAGGACTTTTACCCATTTGTTGTGTAGCAGTTACAGTGGGGGTCTGGGAACCATTTATATCCATGTTTGATAAGCAAGATATGTGCAACAGTTAAGTATCTTTATTCCAAAATGTTTCACCTACACAGTAGGTTTCTTCAGTCTAGTACAGAGGAGTTAGCAGCAGTCAAGATGTGATGATGTAATCAGTCCATCACCCACTGTCTCCACCACTCTACTGCTAACTCTTCTGTACTCAACTGAAGAAGCCTACTGTATAAACAAAACATTTAAGAATACAAATACCCAACTGTTGCACATGTCTTACTTATCAACCTGTCAGTACTGTCTACCATTTTCATATTTGTATCCATGTTTGTAGCATACACTTTACATTTCAATCTTACTTTTATTATAAGGTACAGCATACAATAGCAGTGTACAATATGTATGTATGTACATATGTATGTATGTACATATGTAAGTACCTCACCAAGGCAGAGTGACCTAAAGAAAACAAATAAAATGTTCACCATCACTCACTACCTAGCTGTCTTTTCAGGTCAGTAACATCACAATCCAACAATGATGCACTGAACTGCCATGCCCCACCCACCTTCATAATACAGGCTTCTGTATCTAATAATTCACATAAATTACAGTATTCATATTCATTAAGATATCACAAGTACAAATAAAACACACATTTTCCTTAAAAATATAACATATACAATATAGACCTACATGTACCTAAGTAATACAGATAAGTCATAAGGCATTATTTATTTTCATACATGGAACAGCATCAACACCATTTGTCTGCCAATAAATGAAAGCCCAGCAAAACCTCTTGCCCTTTTGCACTTTCAAAAAATTCAAAGTAACTTTTGCTTATCACCAAATTATTATTACATATAGCAAATTTCTCAGTATCAAGTGAAGCATGTTAAAAAATGTGTCTGAAGCCATGACTGAGCAAAGTGAAATCTAGTGTAGTGAGAAATTTGTTCTTACAACACCATTGCCACTCTCGAGCTTAAAAAAAAGACCTTACTGGGCATTATATACTATAATTGCTACTGCAGATTAGTGTACTAGGCCAGTAATTAAGAAAACCTTGTTTACAGAATGTTTATAAAAAGAAATGTTCCATAAATCCAGTTACATTCTGGGTACAGGAACAAAATATTATAATAAACAATTTATGATACATGTATTTTTATATTTAATATAGTGTATTTAATAAAGATTTGTAAATATGAGTAGTGTGAATAAACTCTAAAATTCAAATAGGAACTGCTAACTTGACAAAGTACTTCCAAGAAAGAAAATACAGTATTCAAGTATACCCAAAATAAACATAGAAAAACATTAAAACAAATAGGTAATTACAAGTGCTTGTAATAATAAAAATGTGTCTTCTTTCAGCAAACCGGCTGTACCCCACTGAGGCAGGGCGGCCCAAAAAGAAAAACAAAAGTTTCTCTTTTTAACTTCAGTAATGTAAGCAGGAGAAGGGGTTACTAGCCCCTTGCTCCCATCAAAATGTATCATACCATTATAAACAATGAACATACAACATTTCTCAATACATCACTGTTTTCTGATAAGTTCTGGTAGAAGAACTTTAGACGGTGTTGACTTCCCACATTATACACCAATATTAAGTATATGTATATTACTCCAGATATTCCTGTGTATTCCAAAACCTTCTATATATACATCCTAAAATCAATGAAAAAAGAAGAGCAGATTTTCTATAAATGCAGCACAGCAATACCAAGGCAATTATACTATATTTAATGGGAATTAACCAACACCGTAGAGAATAGTTAGTTGTACTGACAATTAACTAGTTCAACTGAGCTTTAATTACATTATACAACTGTTAAATTTGTAATTTGCAGTAGTTTTTCTGAAAAGAGTTTCCCTATATTTGCTCAAAACACTTCAAATTTAGACTGTCAGTTGTTTCAAAAAGATTAACTGGAACAATCACAATGTAGTTAACATTATATACCATTCATGCAATATGACGGTGGCTTCTACTTTGGTGAGGAAAGACTCAGGGTCTCTTTTGAAATTACTAAATGCTCAACCCATATATGATGCATTTAAATTGGCATAAAAGCTATTTGATACAAATCTTGCCATGCAAAAAGCTGACCATTAGCAACTGTAACTTAAAATAATGCTTTTCATTTACATTAAGTCCACAGAGTATACAATAATTTGCAATGGTTAGCCACTCAGCTTCGATAATTAAATCATATACTGTATGACATAACTTTCACTGTCCAGCTTTTATAAATTCAGAATTTTGTTTTCCCCCCATGTATTGCTAATCACAAATAATTTGTTGACCTTTCATTTTCTTCAGTGTATTTTTTCTATTACATTCTTCTATGCATTTTTTTCTTGCTGGTCCTAAGAGGTCATTTGTGGTAGGCCAAATTCATCTACTGGCATGCCATCTTTCACAGTTTCTGCTCCTGGTTCTTTTTCTGGAGCATTCGGGATATTAATAGCATCGTCTAAGTATGATGAATCTTCATCCAGGAGAACCTCATCACCAAGTGCATCCAACTCTGCTGCCAGATCATCTTCATCAATATCAGGCATGCCATAGCTGCGACCTAGAGCATCCTGTACTTCATCTGCCTGTTCCAGCATATCTGCCATGTCATCCTGTTGGTAAAATTGAACAATTAATTTATTTTGAAAGAGATTCACAAGTTTGGTTTTGCAATGAGTTGGTCTATTAGATGTGGTAGGATTGGTTTAGATGGACGAGATGGTGTTGAGCTGCATAGCAAAGTTAGGTTTGGTTGTGGGTTAACTGTATTGTAGGGGTGGTATACAATATAAAATGATAATACAAAAAAATGCATGAATTATACCCAAAATATATACACGAAACCTAGGTAGTAGGTTGGTAGACAGCAACTGCCCAGGGAGGTACTACCGTCCTGCCAAGTGAGTGTAAAACGAAAGCCTGTAATTGTTTTACACGATGGTAGGATTGCCGGTGTCCTTTTTTCTGTCTCGTGAACATGCAAGATTTCAGGTACGTCTTGCTACTTCTACTTACACTTAGGTCACACTACACATACATGTACAAGCAGGGCCAGATTAAGAAGTCTCTGGGCCCTAGGCTATTCAGATTGGCGGGGCCCCTTTGAGTTACGCGTAAGCGAAGCGACCCCTTCCAGCTTAGGGGTGGGGGGGGGGGGGTTGGTGTGAGCCTGTTTAAGGTCTAATTAAATACATTCTGGCTATTTAGATTAAATTTAATAGGGAAAGTACATCAAGACAACCAAAACCATTTACCAACAGCCATTATAACTATCTTGTTAAATCATGCATTTTAAAGAGAATAAACTCAAGACAGCATAGTATTACTAGATTAGGCTATTAAAGTAGTGACATCTATGGTTAGGTTTATTTTTTTTTTTTTTTTTTTTTTTTTCAACAAGTCGGTCGTCTCCCACCGAGGCAGGGTGACCCAAAAAAAAAAAAAAAGAAAGAAAATCCCCAAAAAGAAAATACTTTCATCATCATTCAACACTTTCACCACACTCACACATTATCACTGCTTTTGCAGAGGTGCTCAGAATATAACAGTTTAGAAGCATATATGTATAGAGATACACAACATATCCCTCCAAACTGCCAATATCCCAAAACCCCTCCTTTAAAGTGCAGGCATTGTACTTCCCATTTCCAGGACTCAAGTCCGACTATATGAAAATAACCGGTTTCCCTGAATCCCTTCACTAAATATTACCCTGCTCACACTCCAACAGATCGTCAGGTCCCAAGTACCATTCGTCTCCATTCACTCCTATCTAACACGCTCATGCACGCTTGCTGGAAGTCCAAGCCCCTCACCCACAAAACCTCCTTTACCCTCTCTTTCCAACCCTTTCGAGGACGACCCCTACCCCTCTTTCCTTCCCCTATAGATTTATATGCTTTCCATGTCATTCTACTTTGATCCATTCTCTCTAAATGACCAAACCACCTCAACAACCCCTCTTCTACCCTCTGACTAATGCTTTTATTAACTCCACACCTTCTCCTAATTTCCACACTCCGAATTTTCTGCATAATATTTACACCACACATTGCCCTTAGACAGGACATCTCCACTGCCTCCAACCGTCTCCTCGCTGCTGCATTTACCACCCAAGCTTCACATCCATAATAAGAGTGTTGGTACTACTATACTTTCATACATTCCCTTCTTTGCCTCCATAGATAACGTTTTTTGACTCCACATATACCTCAACGCACCACTCACCTTTTTTCCCTCATCAATTCTATGATTAACCTCATCCTTCATAAATCCATCCGCCGACACGTCAACTCCCAAGTATCTGAAAACATTCACTTCTTCCATACTCCTCCTCCCCAATTTGATATCCAATTTTTCTTTATCTAAATCATTTGATACCCTCATCACCTTACTCTTTTCTATGTTCACTTTCAACTTTCTACCTTTACACACATTCTCAAACTCATCCACTAACCTTTGCAATTTTTCTTTAGAATCTCCCATAAGCACAGTATCATCAGCAAAAAGTAACTGTGTCAATTCCCATTTTGAATTTGATTCCCCATAATTTAATCCCACCCCTCTCCCGAACACCCTAGCATTTACTTCTTTTACAACCCCATCTATAAATATATTAAACAACCATGGTGACATTACACATCCCTGTCTAAGACCTACTTTTACCGGGAAGTATTCTCCCTCTCTTCTACACACCCTAACCTGAGCCTCACTATCCTCATAAAAGCTCTTTACAGCATTTAGTAACTTACCACCTATTCCATATACTTGCAACATCTGCCACATTGCTCCTCTATCCACTCTATCATATGCCTTTTCTAAATCCATAAATGCAATAAAAACTTCCCTACCTTTATCTAAATACTGTTCACATATATGCTTCAATGTAAACACTTGATCTACACATCCCCTACCCACTCTGAAACCTCCTTGCTCGTCCGCAATTCTACATTCTGTCTTACCTCTAATTCTTTCAATTATAACCCTACCGTATACTTTTCCTGGTATACTCAGTATACTGGTATATTTATTTTTATTTTATTTTATTTCATTATTTATTTTTGTTCTGATTAATTTTTAAAAATCCAAACACTTGAACTTTTTAGGTAGGGACCCCTCTGCACTTGCACCATGTGCGCAGTCTTGGATGAGCCCCTGAACCCCTTGGACCGTGGGGCCCCCAAATGCGCGGGGCCCTAGGCAAATGCCTAGTTTGCCTATGCGGTAATCCGGCCCCGTGTACAAGCATATATATACACACACCCCTCTGGGTTTTCTTCTATTTTCTTTCTAGTTCTTATTCTTGTTTATTTCCTCTTATCTCCATGGGGAAGTGGAACAGAATTCTTCCTCCGTAAGCCATGCGTGTTGTAAGAGGCGACTAAAAATGCCAGGAGCAAGGGGCTAGTAACCCCTTCTCCTGTATATATTACTAAATGTAAAAGGGTAAACTTTCGTTTTTTCCTTTTGGGCCACCCCGCCTCGGTGGGATACGGCCGGTGTGTTGAAAGAAAGAAAGAAAGAAAAGGAGAAACTTTCGTTTTTCCTTTTGGGCCACCCCGCCTCGGTGGGATACGGCTGGTGTGTTGAAAGAAAGAAGAATGATGTACATGAAAGCAATAAAAACACTGCAAGTAGACCAGCTGGCCAAGACTTTCCAGGTTAGCATTATCATGGGAGGAAAAAGTAACATCTAAACTGTCATATATGGGCACCTCTGCAAAGACAGTGATATTGTGTGAATGTTGAAGAAAGTGATGAATAATAGCAGAAGTGTTTCCTTCTTTTTTTTGGGTCACCCCTACCTTGGTTGGAGACAGCAAATGTGTTAAAAAAAAAAAAAATTAAAACAATCATCAAAACTACATTTTCTACACCTTCATCCTACTGTATCTTTCAATACAGTACTCTGATATCATTCTCTGTTTTACAACCTATGTCTGTATCTTTTCTAGTTTTTCTTATTGAACCATTTGTGCATTCTTGTTGAAGAAACACAGTTTCTTTTCTATGAAAACCAAACCAACAGAAACGGCTATTGTATTCAGTAAATACCTTAAATGCTCCTTGAAACATTTTCATTTTGAGGAAGACAAAAAATCGGGGAAAGATTCTAAATTAGGCACTCCTTTCAGGAATGAATTTCCAGAAGGAAAAAACATCAAACTTAAAAAGGATTCAGAGAATAACCATAATCCATTCAATCATACATCTGAAGGCAATTATAACATAGGAAAATAATCTATTTTTATCAAAATACAGTATATCTATCTTGGTTAGTGTTTACAAGCTTGTTCTCTAATATTTTCACTTTAGTATTCTCTAATGAAATTGATCAGCTACAAACAAATTTAATCAACATACAGTATAATGTTCTCCAATTTTTAATGACATTTTTCTTACATTTTTCACTACAAGCCAAAAATCTCTTCAACATATGCTATAACTATCACATATTCCAATACATAAACAAAGCTATAAAAAATAATGTTTCTTACCTGAATATCTTCAATTTCATCAATATCAATCTTCTTAAATTCTTTTTTCATTTCCTTTACTCCAAGTTTCATGGCATTGACAGTTGTTTTAGTATCCTTAAGAGTCTGTGTAGCGTAATTGGCTTGCTCCATATTGAAGCTCTGGTTTCGCAAATTTGATGCCTGCTGTTCATACATTTTCTTCTGTTTTAAGACACGTAATGCTTTTTGTTTCACTGCATTTTTAGCAGGACCCTCTCGCATCTGTTTTGAGTAAATATAAAAATGAGAAGAAACTGGATGTCCTGGCTTTAAGTGAAACAAAGCTGAAGGGGGTGGGAGAGTTTCAATGGAGAGGAATAAATGGGATTAGGTCAGGGGTTTCAAATAGAGTTAGAGCTAAAGAAGGAGTAGCAATAATGTTGAAGGATAAGCTATGGCAAGAAAAGGGGACTACAAATGTATAAAATTTAAAAGGGTTTTATTTTGGAAGTAAAAAAAAGTTTGGGAAGTAAAAAGGGGTTTAAGTAAGCGTTTTATGCACCTGGAAAAGGGAGAAAAAGTGTAGAGGGAGAGAGAGATTCTGGGAAATGTTGATGAATGCGGGGGGAATTTTTTTGGGAATCAAGTGTGAGAGTAATGGTGGTTGGGGATTTCAATGCTTAAAGTGGGAAAAAAATTTTATGGAGGGTATTTGGGGTAAATTTGGGTCCAGGGGAAAAGAAAAAGGGGGAAACCTTTTAAATTTAGCTTTTTTTTTTTTTTTTTTTTTTATTATCACCCCGGGCCCCGATTCCCCCCAAAGGCAGGGTGGCCCCAAAAAAAGAAAAATTTTCCCCAAATCATTACCCCATCACTGTCTTGCCAAAAGGGGGTTTTTTTAAACCTACATTTTTTAAAAACGCAACATTAACAACCCCCCTTTCAGAGTGCGGGCATGAATTTCCCCCATTCCAGGACTCAAGCCCGGCCTCCTTTTTCCCCTAAATCCCTTCTTTAAAGGGTTACTTTGCTCACACTCCAACAGCACTTTCAAGTTTTAAAAAACCCATTTGTCTCCATTCACCCCTATCAAAACACGCTAAAAGCGGGCCTGCTGGAAGTCCAAGCCCCTCGCACACAAAACCTCCTTTACCCCCTCCCCCCAAAAACCCCTTTCCCTTTAGGCCAAACCCCTACCCCCCCCTTCCTTCCACTACAGACTGATACACCTTGAATTTTTCCCTGTTTCGCTTCCTTTCTCTCTACATGTCCGAACCACCTAAACAACCCTTCCCCCCTCGGACAACAGTTTTGGTAATCCCGCACCCCCCTCCTAATTTCCAAACTACAAATTTCTGTTTTTTATTTTTCACACCAAACTTTTTTGCCCTCAGACATGACATCTCCACTGCCTCCACCCTTCTCCTCGTTTGCAAAAAATTCCCATCACCCATGCTTACACCCTTTTATAAGAGCTTGGGGTAAAACTATATCTCATACATTCCCCTTTTTTGCCCCCCAAGGGGAAAAAGTTCTCTGTCTCCCACAGACTCCAAAGTGCCCCACTCACTCTTTTTCCTCTACAATTCTATGTTTTCACCTCATCTTCAAAAACCCATCCCTGACACGCCCACCCCAAATATCTGAATACGTTCACCTCCTCCATACTCTCCCCCTTTCCAATCTGTTTTTTAAATCTTTCATCACCTAATCTTTTTGTTTTTCCTCAAAAAACCTTACCCCTTTCCTTTTATTCACCTTTAATTTTCTTTTTTCCCCCACACCCTCCCAAATTCATCCACCAATCTCTGCACCCTTCTTTTTCAAAATCTCCCAAGAGCCAGTTTTAACCCGCAAAGAGCAGCTGTGAAACTCCCCCCCCTGTGTGTGATTTTTTAAATCTTTTAACTCCACGCCTCTTCCCAAGACCCTCGCTTTTTAACTTCTTTTACAACCCCATTATAAATAAAATTTAAAAAAACCCGGGGACATCACCATCCTTGTCTAAGGGCCTACTTTTACAAAAAAAATTTTCCCCCTCTTTTCTACATACTCAACTTAAAGCCTCACTATCCTCGTAAAAACTCTTCACTCCCTTTCAGTAACCTACCTCCTAACACCATCCCACTTGCAACATTTTTGCCCTTTGCCCCCCTATCCACCCTGTAATCCCGCCTTTTTTTTCCAAATCCATAAATGCCACAAAGACCTCTTTAGCCTTATTTTAAATACTTTTAAAAACTTATAGGGTTTCACTGTAAACACCGGGCCCACACCCCCCTACCTTTCCTAAAGCCTCCTTTTTTCATCTGCTATCCTATTCTCCGCCCTTATTTCCAAATTTCCCTTTTAAATTTAAACTCTACCTTTCATTTTACCCAGGTACATCACAGTTAACCCCCTTTTTAATTTTTTGCACTTTTCTTTTACCCCTTTTTGGGCCTTTAAAAGGGAAAACTTCCCTTTGCCCCTGCCAACCCCTGGGTCCCTTTTACCCTCTTCCATACTTTTTATTAAAATTAATTGCACAAACCACTCCAAAACAAATTTCCCCCCCTGTTTTAACATTTCTACTTTATCCCTTTAACCCCGGCTCCCTTTAAACCCCCTTTTTCCTTTTTAACCTACGGGCCTCACGAATTTCCCCCCACTCCAAACCGGGGCTCCTAAATTTTTTTTACAAAGATGTTTTTCCCCTTCCCCTTATTCCACGAAACCCACGCTTCCCTATCTTCTTCAACTTTTAAAACAATTCCTCAAATATTCCCTCCATTTTTCCCAATCCTCTAACTCCCATTTAATAACTTCCTCCCCTTTTTTTAATGCCCAAAACCCCATTTGTTCTCTAGGTTCCCTTTGAACTTGTTTTCACCCAAAACTTTTTCTTTTTTCAACAAAATTTTTTTGAAACAGCTCACCCCCCTTTTCCCCTTTGGGCCCCTCTTTTTAAAATGCTTCACCCTCTCTTAACCTCTCTCTTTTTTTTCCATATACTTTTCCCCTCCTTGCACCCACTTCTACTTTGTAAAAACTTCTCATATGTAATTTTTTTCCCCCCTTAAACTACCTCTTTACATAAACATTCCCCCAATCGCTCCTTTTCCCTCCGCACCCATTTTTCCGGGAACCCAAAAAACCCTTCTGCTGAACACTCAAAACACTACTTTTTTAAACCTCCCCCCATTCCCTTCGACCCATTGCCATGCTCTCTTTACCCATCTATCCCCCAAAATAGCGGGTTTTATATCTTACCCTAACTGCCTCCTCTTTTAGTTTAAAAAACCTTACCTCTCTTTTCCCCTGATGCTTCAATTCCCCTTTGTATCCCATCTCCCTTTACCTCAGGGGAAAGCTACAACTGAAAGGGGATCTATATATCTGGGGCCCCCTCGAAAAAAAATGTACATCCTGAAGCCCTACTCCAAAACAGTCTTTTTATCTACTAATACATAACCCAAAAAAACCCCTGTCTTTTCCCCACATCATATCGTGTTTTATTTTTTAAAATCCTCTTTTTCTTAAAATTGAAACCTAAACTCCCCCCTTTTCTATAAAAAGTTCAATAAAAGGGGCTCCCCATTTCTTTTTACACCTGGCCCCCCAAACTTATCTACCCCCAACCCTTTCCTTTTAAAAGTTTCTCCTATTTTTGCTTTTCAGGCCCCCCAACCAAAATTTAGTGTAAAAAGAAATTTGGTAATAAGTAATACATTTTTTTTATGAAAAAAAAGGATAAAAAAATATCCCAAGGTATGATGTAGCATGTAATAAATAGTTTGTTAGATTATGAAATTGGGGGTAAAAGGTTGATTGGGGAGGCTCCAGGATGTACTGTTTAAGAGGGGCAACTGATATATGGGTCATTAAATTTTGTTGTAGCTCAGTTAGAGTAAGAGGTAATGGGAAAAGAGGGAAAGGTTTGGCCCAAAAACAAGTAAAGGGAGGTGGGAAAATGTATAAAAATAAGGGGGGGGGAAATTCGGGGCGAGATATAAAACGGGGCTATTGGCAGAAAGGGGGGCTAGTGCAAAGATGAGTAGGGGGGGGGGGGGGTTTTAAGAGGGTTGGAAAAAGTTTTTTTAAAAAAGCAGTATTAGAATTTTGGGGGGAGAAGTTTGTGGGTTTTAGGAGGGTGGGGGCAGGGGAAAGAGGAGTGATTTGGGGGAATGATGAAGTAAAAAATGTGAAAAAAAAAAAAAAGGTAGCTTACGAAGGTTTTTTTACGGGAAACAGGAAAATGTTATAAGAAGAAGGGAGAGTATATGGGAGAAAAAAAAAGGTGAAAAGGTGGTGAAGAGGCAAAAGGAGAGGGGATGAAAGTGGGAGAGGCACTGTCAAGAAAATTTTTAAAGAAAAAAAGAAAAAATTTTTGGGGGTGAGTTAAACAACTTAAGAAAAACCAAAGGGGAAAAAAATGGGTTTGTCAGTTTTAAAAAAAGGGGTAGGGGAGTTAGTAGATTGGGGGGAGGGAGGGATTAGGTAATGGCAAGAATTTTGAGGAACTTTTTTAAAAGTTAAAGGAAAAAAAGGGGGGCGGAATTTATGCCTGGCCAGGGGGGTATACCATCTTTTAGAGTGAAGAAAGAAAATGAAATGTGGTGGAGGTACGTGAGGCATTAAAAGTAAAAGAAAGGGGGTAAAGCGCTGGAAAATGATGGGATCATGGACAGAAATGTTTTAAAAACAGGGGGGATATAGTGTTGGAGTGGTTGGTACTTTTGTTTTAAAAAATGTATGAAACAGGGGAAGGTACCTAGGGATTGGCGGAGAGCATTTATGTCCCCCTTTTTATAAAGGGAAAGGGGGCAAAAAGGTTGTAAAAATTATAGAGGGGAAAAAGTTTACTGAGGGAAAAACCCGGAAAAAATATACGGTAGGGTTATTAAAATTTAAAGAATTAGAGGTAAGACAGAATGTAGAATTGGGCGAGAAGGGGCTTCAGGTGGGAGGGGATGTGTAGATCAAGGTTTTAAAATTGAAGCTTTTATGTGAACAGTATTTAGATAAAGGTTTGGGGAAATTTTTATTGCATTTTTGGATTTAGAAAAGGCAATTTAGAGTGGATAGAGGAGCCCTGTGGCGAGTTTTCAAGTAAATGGAATAAAGGGGGTAAATTAAAAAATGCGTAAAGAGCTTTTAAAGAGGATAGTGGGGCTCAGGTTAGGGTGTGTAGAAGAGGGGGGGAATACTTTCCCGGAAAAAATAGGTCTTGACAGGGGGTGTGTAAAAGTCACCCTGGTTTTTTAATATATTTTTAGATGGGGTTGGTTTAAAAAAAGTAA